TTCTTTCAGAGTGTAACAAAGGCAATATTCCACCTGGGTTTATTGTTTTCAAAGGAACTTCCAACCAAATTTTAAAAGTTTCAAAGTATGACTTAGTACAGCATCGAAACTTTCGCTTTAACTTCTTATGAGAAGATTTCATTATCTGGAGAATCTAAAACAGACAGACAGACATCTGTCTCAGTAATGAAGAAGTGGGTCAGGCATTTCCAGGAACCTAACATTTATTGGAACTGTTAGCACTTTGGTGATAATGGCAGAGCAAGGAGTCTACCAGGGGTCAAGCCAGGGTCAGAGAAAGTCAGATTTTGTTATGGAACCGTTTCAGCTGGGACAGTGCTGGGAAGCCCCAGAATGTCCTGGGCTCACTCTACAAATGCTTGGCCCCGCTGGGCTCAGTGCATTAATGAAGAGTATGTCTGCTTTTAGATCACATTCACAACATGTGCATACCCCAGCTTCCACTAATCATTGCAGCGTAACCTTCTAAAGAGAAACAAAAATCAGAGTGTATATACTTTTTGAAAATGGAATTTTTTAAAGTTCAACTCTTTTAAAGTAATTTTTATAGCATTTTCAAAAATCTCTTTCTTATCACTTTATTTTTGATTGAAGAAGGGAATGCAAATATTTCATTTTTCTTCCTGTGAACAGTATTCTCTAAAACTCTTAAGCCAGGGGCAGAGGAGCATGAAGTATTCTTTCAGAGGGCTTCGAGTCACCTCTTCAGTGAATTTTTTCTCAGGCAGAATTATCAACCAGTATTATCTAATGAGGGCTGCTCGGTATATACTGAATATCACTCTGCTGAATGCTGAGAATGTCGCCTTGAACAAGATGGACAAAGCCTTTCCCTCCATAGAGTCTATGCTGGGAATAGCTATAAACCAGTAACCAAACAAATGATATGAAGTTCAAACAATGATAATAACTAGAAGAAAAAGAAGAGATGAAAGGGACAGTAAGTGACTTGGAATGGAAGGCCCAGTGTTAGAAGGTGACCTTGCCCTTCTCTCTGAGGAGGTGATGATGGAGTTGAGACCCCAGTGATCAGAAAGCTTTAGGCCTGGGGGAGCAATCTTTCAGGCCTGGGGAATGGTTAATGTGCAGGGGAGACAAGCTTGGTGTGTTAAAGTAATGCGAAAAAGTTCAGTGGGGAGCTCAGTGAGCAAGGGGGAGAGGGGCGGAGGCAGGGCAGAGAGGAAGAAGGCCTGGATCTGTGGACCGGGGAAGGCGGTTAGAAGCAGGAGGCGTAAAAATCATCTGATTTTCGTTTTGCTGCTGCTGGAGCCTGGGTCCTGGAGTTAACAGAGGAAGTCAGGAGACCTGCGAGGAGGCTGCAGTGGTCTAAGACAGCACTGATTATGACTTAATTTAGAAGACTGGGGTCCCGGCCTGTGGCCGAGTGGTTGAGTTCATGTGCTGTAGTTTGGCGGCCCAGGGTTTTGTCAGTTTGGATCCTGGGCATGGACCTAGCACTGCTCATCAAGCCATGCTGAGGCAGCATCCCACATGCCACAACCAGAAGGACCTACAGCTATAATATACAACTATGTACTGGGGGGCTTTGGGAGAAGAAAAAAGAAAAAAAAAGATTGGCAACAGATGTTAGCTTGGGGTCAATCCTAAAAAAAAGAAGACTGGCTGTGACAGTGGAGAGAAGCAGAGAGATTGTGCTCTGATGATGAAATTACATTTCACCAGCCTCAACTATGTTGTCCAGTATGACAGCCACTAGCCACATGTGGCTATTTACACTTAATTTAAATTAATTGAAAGTAAAAATTCAGGGACTGGCCCCATGGCCTAGTGGTTAAGTTCGGCACATTCCGCTTCAGTGGTCTGGGTTCGGTTTACAGGCACAGACCTACATCAGTCATCAGTGGCCACACTGTGGCAGCAACCCACATGCAAAATAGAGGAAGACTGGCACAGGTGTTAGCTCAGGGCAAATCTTCCTCAAGCAAAAAAGAGGAAGCTTGGTGATGGGTGTTAGCTTAGGGCGAATCTTCCTCAGCAAAAAAAAAAAAAAAAAAAAAAAGTGAAAATTCAATTCCTCCTTCACACTAGCCACTTTTCAAGTGTTCAATAGCCATATGTGGCTAGTGGCTATTCTATTGTGCAGTGCAGAACATTCTGTCATTGCAGAAAGTTCTGTTGGACAGCATTGCCTCAGAGCTATGTGCCTGTATGACCTGTTCTTTCCAAATTCTTCACTCCTCTCTCTTGGAAGGACAACCCATCCACCGTAAACTTCGTTTAATGCCCATTCTGTTAGGAGCTGTGAGTGGAGGGAAATTTTGTCCTGAAGAAATTCGTAGCTTTGGAGAATTAACCAAAGCCAAAGAAGACATTAACCCTGAGTTTGGGGAAAGTTAGAATGTGCAAGGCATGCTACCCACAAACTGGAGAGTCATTTGGGTGAGCCAGGAGGCAGAGTTCATATGGGAGCTGAAGGCTCAAAATGGGCCACAGGTGATAATTTGGGGGAGGAAAGAATAACTAGAACAGATCATGCAGTGTCCAGAATTAAAGAAGTGACTAGGAGAAAAATAATACCAACTTTGATCAGCAACTAGGAGCGACAATTGGGGGTTGTCTCCATCAGTCACAGTGCAGACTGGGAAGTGGAGCCATTGTGAGTATTCATTGGTGAGAGTTAGACCTTGCACTAATGTGGGAGGAGCTGGGAAAGTGGAAGTTGGAAGAGGGGTCAGAGATCAAAGGCAGGAACACTACTCGGCCCTCCCAAGCTGGTCAAGTCAGGAATCTCAGCAAGTCCAGCCGCCCACGTCGTGCTCTGGGGAGCTGACAGGGAGGTCTTTGGGACTTGTGAGGCTACGGCACTGTTGCTCAGCAGGCAGCGTTTAGGAAGACCAACTAGACATGAAATAGAGGACACCAAGGGCGAGCTGAACTCACAGGCGCCCCTGGTTATATCAGTCCCGCGTTTAACCAAGATAACCCCCCAAGGGCAATGGCTGCTGCTTCCCTTCCACCTTACTAATCTCAAGCAAGGTCCTCTTTTGGCCAACTCTAACCCAAAACCCTCTGGCAAAGGGGATTCAGGGAAACAGTTCCAGGTGGACATGCTTGATTCCTCACAATGCATGTGAGGGACCGTCTCTTGGATACTTAGGAAATGGAATTTTAGGGGTGAGAAGGGACCAAACCTCTATGTCACTCACCTCGCCATTTGGTCAGGAGTTGGCTTGACCTTGGTTGGGACCCAGTGTGCAGCCCGTGTCGCACAGGCGTTCTCATGTGCTGCTCACAGAGCACTATTCCTCACCCACCTTTGCACCATCTTCCCCCTTGACTGCAGGAAGTCAAGCGCTGCCGTTCTCTATTACTGTGAAAACAAGGCACCGGCAGATCTTAAACTGATAAAAACCTGGTAAAGCTGTCATTGTATATACCTTTAGGATGGATCGAGATAGCATATCCCGTGGTAAAAACAAGAGTAAAATCGTTCTGAGAACTGTGAAACTGTCAACCTTTTTCTAAATGACTTAATCCAACAGGCAGGTGTCGTTTAATCACTGGCCTCCTTTTGTGGGCATGAGAATGCCACGATCTTTTTATTTTAGGAGTGTGAGGAGTGCTACCACTCACAGAGCACCTCCCCAGGGCCAGGCACTGTGCTGACCCCGAGATCTGCATGCACTGCTTCCTTCTGTCGTCACTGTCCCCTGTTACCGGTGGGAATTGGGACCTGCCCAAGATCAGGCAGCCAGTAAGTGGCAGGACTAAGATTTGAACTCAGGGAGGGAATTCAGAGGGAGCTGGAATAAAGCGGACACGTGGAGGCTGGGAAATACCCAGAGGTAGGCAACTAAGTAGCTCTAGGATAAGCGACTGCAGCTGTGTCATGGAGCGTGCTGGCACTCAGGGCTGGCCAGGTGGTGGCCATCCTGGGCCTCCACCAGGTTCCCCCAGTTATGTTTCAGCCACTGTGAGTAGCAGTTTCTTTCCTTCTTCCTCCCTCTCTTCCTTCTTGCTTGATTCCTTCCTTCTATCCTCTCCTACATTTTCTCTTTCTCTCTCGTGTGTGTGTATGATTTCCCTCCTTCACCCTCTTTCTTTCTTAGTAATGGAATGTTCCATCTGTTCAGCCAACTGTTAAGTCTTACCCCATGAGCAAATCCTAGGACATGCAGGAAGGCTGTGCAGACACACCCAGACATGGGCCCTGTTCTCTAGGGGTTTCTCCTCCACTCTCAGTTTTGTAGGGAAGCAACTTGTCCTACTCTCAGAAAGTGTCTTTGCAGCTTGTAGGGCCAGCTCTGCTCCTTGAAGCAAGTGTGGAGTCCCCATCCTCACTCTGATGCTGCTGTGAAAACCGTTAAAACACAGCAGTAACAGACACCCAACTGAGTGGGCCCGTCTCTCCCTCCCCCAACCCCCACATGCTACTTGAGAGATTGTTTGGGGATGGCTCCTGGGACCTGTGTGCACACGGGCTGCAGGCCTGTGTTCATCCTGTGCACGCAGACAGCGTGGTCAAGACCCTCTAGGAGGGGACAGCAAAGAAGGAAAGCTCATCTTCCTGAGGAGGCAGCTCGGCAATTCTCCTCTGTGTCCAGAGGAGTCAGGGAGAAGATGGTATATGGAGACAAGCAGTCCCCTGGGGCCCAGGACGAAATTCAGAAACTTGGTGAAACTGCCACAGTGCTGTCCAGTACTGACATGTGTGCCTGCTAAAGCCCGTCAGAGGGACTAAACATGTATTTTCCTGAATCAGGAGTGGGTATCCAGGGCAACTTTTTGTTATTTCTCCCACCCAGCCCTTGCCCAACTTGGCCAGTCATCTCAACAGGATGCTGGAACCAAGACTGTTGTGGGCCTGCTTCTCAGGTCTTGTGTGTGGTGGGAGAGCACCTTGATGGGGGCATGTCCCGCCTCCACCAGTGCTGACCTGTGTGCATCAAGGCTGTCTCGCTCGTCGGGGTTGTCAGTGCAGCTGGGGTTGATGGTTTTCTTGTTCTCTTTCTCTCCAGGGGCAGGTGTGGATTAATGGCTTTAACCTTGGACGCTATTGGCCAGCACGGGGTCCCCAGATGACCTTGTTTGTGCCACAGCACATCCTGATGACATCGGCCCCAAACTCAGTCATCGTACTGGAACTGGAGTACGCACCCTGCAGTGACAATAACCTAGAACTGTGCGCTGTGGAGTTCGTGGACAGGCCGGATATCGGTGCGTCTCAAACCCAAAGTCGTCTCCCTCCACACCTGTCTATTCAGGGCTTATGACTAGATGGTACAAGATGACTAAAGGCTGAACCCTTTGGGGTTCTAGCCTTGCACATACCTCATATATCCCCCTGGTAATGCCAACATTCACTGAAGAGTCTGATGGGAAAATAAATTCAGTATGTGTGTTTTCGCCTGAGTTCCCCTGCAGCCTTGCAGTGCCTGACCCGCCACCATCAGGGGCCACCATGGATGTGTGATGGGAGGTAGCCCAGGAATGCACTGACGTGTCTGCAGAGCTGGGTGGAAGCTTTCAAGGTGTTTCTGATTTTTACTTTGCAAGAATCTTGTCTCTTTAGTCAATAAAATTTGTACTCAAATGATGTTACTGTTTTTAATGTGAAGCCGGTATTAAATTATATGTTCTGATTTAAATCATAACTAGACTTGAGTGGGCTGAATAAGCCACTTCACTAACTTGAGGTTCAAAGGAATGGAAAAGAGCCTTGGTTTGATCTAGTGGACTACTGCTTTTCTGATTCTTATTTGACTTCCTTTTGAATTTCTGTATTTACTAGGTAGCCCATAAGTGCAACTCAAAACGATTATGCAAACGATCTAAATGATCAACAGTTGGAGGGTGTACATGGTGTGGTTCATCTGTACTCTGTAGCCACTGAAATGGTAATGTAGATCTGTATTTATTTATATGAAAACACTTTCATGGTGTGTTGTGTGGAAAAAGCAGATTACCTTAAGTTTGATCCCATTTTGTGTTTAGCCATAAAAACTGCACACGTCCACACACTCAACACAGGCCTGCACACACATCAGTAGACACATACACGTGAGTGCACGTTCTGTGCACGTACATAGATATACAGGGACATGGCATTGCGTAGTATGCATGTCCTGTCCAGAGCAGCAGCTCTCATTTGTTGAGCCCTTGGTCTATACCATACCCAGTTCTAAGCATATTATATATTTAATTCACTCACCCCTCACAAGAACCCTGAGGAATGTTCTATCATCTTTTCCGATTTTCCTGGTCACACAGCCGTAGGTGGTAGAGACAGAGTTTGAACCCACGTAGTCTGGCTCTAACGTCCAGTGACACATCACATACATAGTATATCAACATGTGCTTCTATTCGCCTAGGAAAAGACTGGGACAACAGAAACAAGAAATGTTAACATGATCCTATCTGGGTGGAAAGTGTTTGAGAGTTACCTTCTCTTTTTTGTTTATCTGTGCTTTAAATTCTTTACAGAGAAGATGCAAGTTTTTTTAAACGAGGAAGAAAGGAAAGATTTTTGGTGCTAATCTACAACATGTTTTCGTGGGAGTGTATTTTTCCTTGTCTCCTTGACATCGGTAATGAATATCTGGGATTCAACAGGGAGTTTTCAACTCTGGTTGAGCCAACTGCAAGAGGCATATGTGAGTTGACAGAAACTGAGACTAGAAGTTTATTTAGGACTGTTTTCCATACATCTTTTTCTAGATGTTCTGCCTCGTTTGGCTTTTGGGCATACCGTAGGGTGAAGGAGATGCTACATGGACCCACGACCTTGTTTCATGACTCTTCGTTCTACTACTAAGTTACTGAAAACTTGTAAAATACTACTCAAGAACTAGGCCAGTGATAAGCTTTGGAAAGACATGTGAGGTGATTCTTTTTAAAGCATTATGTACATTGGTAAACGGCACCACCCCTATATCAGAGACCAGCATGGAGTCTCCAGAAGGCTCAGGCAGTGAAGTGGGATCGCCTCGTCACAGTGTACACTTCCCTTCGATTCTCTCATAGGATCTTCAGAACCACCCTCTAAGGCAGGCAGCGCTAAGCCCATTTTACAGATGAAAACATTTAAAGCTTCAGGGAGAGGTGGAGCTGGGTTCCAGTCTGGGCTCTCTCCATCCAAAGGCAGAGTGTTGTGTCTTGTCAGTTTGAGGGAATCATTTGGGGTTCTCCTTCTTCAGCACCATGACATCACTTGTCCAAAATGTCATGTCCTGGAAAACGGGATCTTAATCCATAAATAGTACCACCCTGGACTCTACTCACAACCTGTCCGACTCTCCATAGCGCCTGTGAGGGGCGTACATTTTACCTTCTGCAATGTCACTCTTAAAACACGATGTGCCTTGGTGACTCCTGAATTCGTAACTCTGTGTATGGATGCTATCTCTGAAAATAATAAGGGCAAAACCTTTATTGCCTGCCATGTAAACCTTTGATGAACATTCAAACTGTTTCCAGTTTCGGGCTATTATGAATAATGCTGATCAGAACATCCAGGCACGATTCTTCGTGTGGCCATATGTCTTCATTTCCTTTGGGTAAGTGCCTAGGAGTGGATTATTTAGTGATGTGGTAAATGTATGTTTAACTTTTTAAGAAACTGCCAAACAATTCCAGAACATCTTTCTTGAGGCTGGCAAGGAACAAAGAAGAGGCGGAGACGCACTGGGCAGAGCCCTCTCTGTTCCAGAGTTAGCGCCCCCTGCGTCCTCTCTGTCTGTTCCCTGCTCTGCCCCTTTCAGTGTCTCTCTTTGTCTCCGTTTCTCAGCACATTGAGTTTATTCAGAATGAAATTGTTTAGTGCTCATCTGAGTTTGGGTTTTTTTCGTTGTTTCCCCAACAAGCAATGTGTCTTCTGTCAGATGACACAAATAGGAAATCATCTTGTGTGGTGTTTGTTTCTTGCTTTTTGAGAAAAGTCATTTTCTGAAATCACGTTTTCAGTCAGTGTGAGGGATTCTGTCTGGTCTGTGGTAGAATAGACAGCTAATGTGGACCAGTATCCGTGGGCTGTGAGGAAAGTCCAGTCAATGTCCAGAAAATTGGAGTGAGGTGGTTCTGGGTTGAAACTCGGCCCCTGCTCTTGGTCTGACTGGGTGTTACTTTCTGGGTTGTCCCTTGCCCTCTGGCCGCTGGCCCTGAGGTTTAACTGGACACCTAGCAGCTATCTGGTTATCTGTAAATGCCCAGTGAAGATTCTGAACTGATTATCCACCAGACAATTGCTCTGTTTGCACCACAAGGGGCTTTCCCAACATGTGAGGAAACCTCCCATGAGCTTCAGCCTCTGAACTCCCAAGCCAGCAGCACTGTCTCCCTGGGTGAAACAAGACAAGCCCTGGGACAGAAACGCATTCGTGCTCCCCTCCATCACTTCCCATTGGCATGATCTCAAGCAAGTGATTGACTTAGAAGCCTCAATTTCCTCATCTCCGAAGTGTGGTCCCCACCTCATGGGATTTTAAAATCAAATGCAGTAATCATAAAAGCACCTCACATGGCACTTGCTGGTTTGATTCTTTCCTATGACGTTCCTCCACAGAAGCCAATAAATGATCATCTGGAAATCTGAGGGACAAGGGGGGAAGAAATGCCACCCAGGACACACCATCCTTTCCCCAGATCCCTTTGTGTTCAGTTCAACAACTTCATTCCCCCGATCAGCCGCCGTGCTTGGCTAAAGCTTGCAAAGGTAAAGGAGACAGTCTAGTATAAAATATGGATGCAGACCTGGGGGCGGGGGGCACGTTCCACAGAAAGGGCGAAGGTGCGTTTCCGTCAAGACCCTCCAGCATTAACCTGACACTACAGAGGGCTCTCAAAACTTAAGTAGGGCCCTTCTGCCACAGCAGCCACTGAAAAACAGCAGCCATGGCTTTGTGCTACCCCATGATTGTGGGTCTTAACAAGGGCCACAGGGTGACCAAGAACATGAGCAAGCCAAGGCACAGCCGCCTGGCTGGCACCTCACTAAGCACACCAAATTCATGTGGGACTTGATCCCAGAGGTGTGTGACTCTGCCCGGTGTGAGCGATGTGCCACAGAGCTGCTCGAGGTCTCCATGGACAAGCAGGCCCTCAAGTTCATCACAAAAAGTGTGGGGACACAACTCCATGCCAAGAGGAAGCAAGAGAAGCTAAGCAACATCCTAACTGCCATGAGGAAAGCTGCCAAGGCTGTGAAGAAGGCCTGAACTCCCTCCCCGCTGTGTGCGTATTGAAACTGTTACAGAAAAAAAGAAATTAAGCAACTTTCCAGGGCTAACATTGAATTCCTAGCCCAAAGGGCATTTCTCATCATTGTGTGCTTTTGCTGGTTGTCTGTTGGTGTCTATCAAACCACTTCAATAAGTTTCCTTAAGTGGCATGAAACGGCTATTTTGTAATGCACCTGATTCTGTGGGTCAGGAATTCAGACAGCGCAACAGGATGGCCTGTCTTTGCTCTGTGACATCTGGGGCCTTTGCTAGGTACCAGAAATCATCTAGAGCTTCCTTCTCTCAAATGTCTTGCATGTGGACTGAGATGATTTGAGGTCCGAGCTCAGCTGGGACTGTTAACCAAAGCATCTACACATGGCCATTCCATGTATTTCTGGCTTCCTCCATGTGATAGCCAGGTTCTGAGAGGGCGTGTTCCAGGAGGGACTTCTGGAGAGTAAGCATTGCAACAGAACCAGGCAGAAGCTGTGTGGTCCTTTAAGACCTAGATGCAGAAGTCACATAGTGTCACTTCCACTGTACTCTATTGGTCAAGGCAGTCACAGCACACCCAGATTCAAGGGGAGGGAATGTAGACCTCAGCCCTTGATGGGAGGAATGACAAAGAATTTGCGGCCGTGTTCAAAAACCCTCATAGGTACACATAGTACTGTGTTGTAGCACAGTCGGTTTAGTATATTTCTGTCCATTCCCCTAAAAGTCTGAAAACCTGGTGAGTGTGAATGGAGTCCTATTCATCCTTGGTCCAAGACCCCATTGACGAATCACTGTGCCTGGTCCACAACAGGTACATTTAGCCTGTGTTGAATGAATCGGATCCTTTGCCTCTTTTGTAGATTACCTAGTCCCTGGTAACCCAGCCAGGTATTAACTAAAGAGGACTCTGAACCTAGACTAGAGATCCACTATGTAAACCACCCACCAGCCACAGTATATGGCAGTGTGAGGTGATGGGTGCTGCACTTAACACTCAGTCTCGTTTCCTTCTTTATTATCTTTGGTGAAGTCTTTCAATTTAGATTCCTGAGCAAGGCGTGCAGTCTGTCCAATTTCAACTTTGCTTTAACTTTTACTGAGAATTGGGATCTTTTTCCCAGGGTGCCTTAGCTGTTGTGGTTCACCTGTCCTCTTTTCCATGGCCTTTGAAATCATGAAGTGTCCCAAGAAGTGCCAGTGAGGAATCCCCAGGGTTTCAGGTCTTATCGCTTTTTAAGATGATAAGTGTGCTCCTCACCTTTTAACAATTAGTGTAGATTTTTTTCATTTACTCAATAAATTTTCATTCAGTACTTACTCTGAGCCCCGTACTACTGAGCAAGGCACATTTCTGGCCCCTCAGGGCCACAGCACACAGAT